ATCAATCTACCTACTCACTAACCCACCAACTACCCACTCACTCATTTATCTGATTATCCATCTGCCCATCCTTCCATTCATCCATCCATCCACCCACCCATCCATCCATCCATCCTTCCATCCTTCCATTCATCCATCCACCCACCCAATCATCCATTCATTCATCCATCCACCCACCCATTCATCCATCCACCCACCCATTCATCCATCCATCCACCCACCCATTCATCCATTCATTCATCCATCCTTCCATCCATCTACCCACCCATCCATCCATCCATCTACCCACCCATTCATTCATCCATCTACCTACCCATTCACCTGTACCCATCCATCCTCTCACCCATCCTCCTACTTACCCACCCATCCACCTTTCTTTTGAGAGACAAGGTGGCATGATGGCTCAGAATGCACCTCTATGCTGTCATATGGGTGGCAAGTGTCTGCTGCCCTCCATGCTTTGCAGTCACTCTGTTGTTGACTTGTCTTATGCTTAGGCCAAACCATTTTCCTCAGATGTCAAGAGGGAAGAAAAATGCTTACAGTCTGTGGCAGTCACAGGCAGCCAGTGAACTGTAAAGTCCAACTGACCACCCAGAAGATACATTCATGGCCAGACTGCCATCTCAGGGACAGGGTGCTGCCTCTGACATACATCTTGTTGAATGGAATGGATATTTGAACCTGTCACCCCGGGAAGGTATTAGCTTCAGCCTGTTGCCTGGCCCTAGGTGAGGAGTGATTCTTTGTGCCCTGTTCTAATCACTGGAGACTATGTTCCTCAGCTCTCCTTGTCTGCTGGTGGGAACCCCTGTGGGGGAGCTGACAGCTTCCTGCACACCCAGCCCCGGGGGAGTCACCACTGCAGAGGCAAATGGAATCATGAAGTTGGTGTAATTTGCTGATTTACTTAAGTAGCACCCCCAGTTAGAGACATGGCAGAAATCCGTTAGTGTGGCTCCACCCCCAGCTTCACCAGCACTGGAAGTGGGATGGATGGGCGGTGAGAAGTGGAAGCCAGGATGAACCAGGGATGTAGGCAGCCAGTGGTGGTCACCCTGTCCTTCCTGCTGGATGCTCTTGTCATCTGGTCCCACCCTTAGCCTATGCTTGGGGAAGGGCTGATGAGGCTCCCAGGATGACTGAGGGTCTTGTGGCCTTGAAGGACTTGGAGTCAGTGACATAGAGGTGCTAAGTTGGTCAATACCTGTAACATTTCCCCTGCACCTGAGATGTGGGGCTCCTCCATCTACTGGCTTCAGCTCTGGGGCCCTCAGATATGGAGAGCATTTGATGACATCTACCTTGGATGGCTCTGTGGGCAATCAAGATCTTGATGACACTAGGGCAACTGCCCGTGGTGGGCTCCAGGGACTGGCGGTCTGTACTGCTCCTCCCTGCCCCTCTGCCCGCTCAGTCCCCAGCTCTGGCAGCTACCTTACCTGCACATCACTCAGGTACAGTGCTGCAGGTGGCTTTACTCACCAGACTTATGCTAGGAGCAGAGATGGCAGAGCTAACATGTTCACACCCTGTTTCCGGGGCTTCCCATAGAGGGCTAGGTTGTAGTCTTGGAGGCCCCCATCTCCCATAGCTTCAAATGGAAACTCGCAGGCCAGGGCACAGTTAATTGCAAGGCTCCAAAGTCCAAATGCCTGTGACATTGGACAGCACCTCAAAATGAGTGGGTTGGACTTGTGGGGACTGGAGAAAATGGGTGTTTTCATCTCCTGTCTAAGGGGTACGTAGCACTTCATAAGGATCACCACACATTAATAACAATAAAGTAGTAATAATAATGAAGAAGTGAAGTTTTATTGGGAATCTCTCACGTTTTTTTTCTGGCAACAGATTCAATTAGAAACAAAGTTGTACCAAGCTAAATATATCTAGGTGTGTGTCGGGGGGGGGGGGATGAGACTTGTGGCTTCTTTAGTATTACGTCTCAGAGGAATTGATTTCTTTTTCCTTTTGAGTATCAAAAGTCTTTGTTCATTTCTATTTAGTGTGTTCTGGGTCGCCAGAGATTTCTCATAAGGGAGGGGTTCCTGCTCCCATCTCACGTATGAGGAAACTGAGGCATGGTGGGGTGCTGAGCCTCACGGGGTTAATGGTGGAACTGAGCTGTGGACTCACACCCATCCTGTCATCATGGCGTCCCGGAGCTGATAAGCAGGCGTGGGGCACAGAGTTGGTGTGCAGATTGGGGATTCGTGCATCTCTGGGTTCCCCTGCTGCCACACTGCCCTGGCCAGGCAGAGAATGAGTGGCTGTTCACAGAGCGTTGCCTTCTTGACTGTCAGGCATGAGGCTGAGCAGGTTGTGTAGGTCTCAGCTGGGCAAACTTGGGAAAGTGCAGTTAGGATGTGCTATGTTGGGGCGGGGGTGGAGAGTTCCAGCTGGGCAAAGTTACAGGAAAGAACTTCAGGACAAGTCAGTGAGGAGTAGAGTCAGGGTTTATTAGATTTAAAATTGTGTCTATGTGCATGTGAGTGCAGCAACTACAGAGGCCAGCAGGGGGCATCAGTCCACTGGGGCTGAAGTTATAGGTTGCTGTGAGCCTCCAAATGTGGGTGCTGGGGACAGCACTGAGCTTCCCTGGAAGGGCAGAAGCATTTTTAACTGCTGCACCATCTCTCCAGACCCTAGAAGAAATTTTGGCAGTTTGAAGTATGGGTGTTAGAAGGAGGTGTGTAACTTGGGAAAAAATATTGTGCATTACTGTACCCAGGTGGGGGTATGTGCTGGGTGGGGCAAGAGAGGGAGAGAGAGAAAAGGGTTGGGGAGAGGGAGGAGGGAGGGAGGGAGAGCAAGTTGACCTTACTGTCCTTATGTTAGTCATGTCTATGGTTTAGTGACTTTTGAAGTTATATCTCCAAAGGTTCCTAAGGGTCTCTCTCTCTCTCTCTCTCTCTCTCTCTCTCTCTCTCTCTCTCTCTCTCTCTCTCTCTCTCTCTCTCTCTCTCTCTCCCCCTCTGTCTCTCTGTCTCTCTGTCTCTGTCTCTCTCTCTGACTTCAGAGGGTAGTTTCTGAAATACAGTAAGTAGACAGGATTATGGCTGATAAGGTAAAGCCCTTATCAACCATAATAAGGGTTACACGGGGAGTTGAGAGTTGTTTTCACTGGGAACAAAGTTAATCGTCTTGTTAGTGAGATTCCCAGGAAACTGCAGGTCACACTTGGAGAGAAATGAGGGCATATTCCAGGTCACATGCATGGGCTTTGAGCACAGATCGCTGCCACTTGGACATGATTTGAAGTGTCTCTGTGTGAAAGGCACACTGACAATGTTGGCAACCTTGATCCTCAGCCATAGAGAAGCTTCCAGCAGATCAATGGGTGAGGGGCTCCTTCCTGTTCCCATGGCCCCCGAATTTTTCACCTTCCTGTCTTGCCTGGCTTATGCAGTAGTGACTGCATACAGTCACATTATATCACATGTCACAAGGCCCTAAGCCTGACCTACCTTCCCTGGCTCTCACTTGAAGGTGAGACCAGGCTTCTTCCCAAAATGTACATGGCAGTTGAGTCTCAACATAGCTGTTGAATCTGATTCCAGATCCTGAGTTTGGGCTACTGAGAAGATAGGCAGCAGACCACACTTGGTTCTTTTGGGAATGCACATGCACAGGGTGTGTGTGTGTGTGCGTGCGCATGCGTGCGTGCGTGTGTGTGTGTGCACATGCATAGGGTGTGTGTGTGTGCACCTGCACAAGGTGTGTGTGTGTGCACCTGCACAGGGTGTGTGTGTGTGCACATGCACAGGGTGTGTGTGTGTGTGTGTGCACATGCACAGGGTGTGTGTGTGCACATGCATAGGGTGTGTGTGTGTGTGTGCACATGCATAGGGTGTGTGTGTGTGTGTGTGTGTGTGTGTAGGCCAGAGGTCAGCTTGTGCTTTCTGCCTAGATTTTTTTAGACAGGATATATCACTGACCTGGAACTCATCGGGTAGGTCAGGATGGTCAGCCAGTGAGTGCAGGGACCCACCTCTCTCCACTTCCCCAGGATTACAAGGGTGTGCTACCAGACCTGGATTTAAAAACAACACAGCAACATGGGTTCTGGGGCTGGTGCAAAGCAAATACTTCATCAGCTACGTTATCTCCACAGCCCAACATTTCGTTTTTTATCTAAGCCAGGGCTTCCCGAGCCATCACAGCTTCCTGAGTGCAGCAGCTAAGGCAGAGGGTTGAGCAGTGTGGAGCCTGGGCATGGAGTGAGAGAAGGGTGAATGGCAACTTCTGGGCTGAGGGGGTGGGTGGCCTGTAGGTGGGCAATGCCCGATCACTTTGAGGCTATTATCCTCCTATTTTTGTAACTTTTTACATTTTATTTATTTATTGTTTTTGCTTTTTCTGAGACAGGATTTCTCTGTGTAGCCCTAGCTGTCCTGGATCTCACTCTGTAGACCAGGCTGGCCTTGAACTCAGAGATCTACTTGCCTCTGCCTCCTGAATGCTGGGATCAAAGGTGTGGGCTACTACCACCCGGCTTGTTTTTTGTAACTTGATTGTGTGGTTCTCAGCGTGAACTTTGCAGATGACATCACACCATAGTGTTCAAAATGTCAAGTATTCCTGTACCTTGTTTTGACTGAATTCCATGTTCCCTGAGTGTAGCATCTTTGAAAGACTGAACAGGGCTCTACAAAGAACGCACATCTGTTGGGATGTGTAGGCTGAGGAGCCCAAGATAGAGAAATCCGAGAGACGTAGTGGTAGCTTGGAAACAGAGAGGGTGAGGCTGGCCCCTTGCAGCTTAGGTGCTGGAGAGGACCCTCCCCTTGTGCTCGAGACTGATGGCCAGTAGAGGTCCAGGCAGGCAGAGTCAGGGAGCGGTGATGGGGCTGCTGCCTCCTCTGATACAGAGCACAGGATGGGGGCAGTGGGTGTCCCTGCTGGGGGATTGCATTGGCTGTCCTTAACTCTCCCCTTTGGTGGCTCTGTGGCTTCCAGAGGGGCCACCAGCAGCCTGCTCTGTGCGTGTCCACCCACAGGTAGCCTGCCCTATGAATACAAGATCGTGATTGCGGGCAACCACGAGCTGACCTTCGACCAGGAGTTCATGGCTGACCTCATCAAGCAGGACTTTTATTACTTCCCATCCGTGTCCAAGCTGAAGCCGGAGAACTATGAGAACGTGCAGTCGCTGCTGACCAACTGCATCTACCTGCAGGATTCAGAGGTCACTGTGCGTGGCTTCAGGATCTACGGCTCCCCGTGGTGAGTGTGCCTGAAACCCATCTTCACCACCGGTTATGGCAAGAGGGAGTGGGTGGTGACGACTCCAGTCTCCTAGAGGTGCTGGGGACCCAAAGCTGAGTCTCAGAGCCAGTGTAAAGGGGACAGAGGATCTGGGATTTAATTTTGTCCTCATTCTCTGTCTGACCTCAGGCACCACTGCCACCCATGGGCCTCAGTTTCCCCATTTGGAATCAAGGAAGGGTAACATGACTTACATCCTCTGGACTTTACATGAAGGCAGCTGCTATTGGCTCCAGCTCTCTCAGAGAGAATAAGGACCTTCTGTGGTGACACAGACAGGCTGAGGAGGGGCTTCCTGGTTTGCAAACATTAAACATGAGCCTCTGGCACTAGGGGATATTCCCTTTCTGCCTGTCTTTTGCCCTCCCACAGAACGGTGTGTCTGGGGAGGAGGCTTGATCCACTTGACTGAAGAAAGGCATTTGGGATCTTCAGGTGGATTCATCATGCCCTTTCCTGTGTGGTGACAGCAGCTGATTGAAAGCAAATGCATAGTGAATCCTTATTTGATGGAGACACAGTGACCAACTGGGCCTTCTCTCAGAGCTCACCTGGCTGATTGGTGCTCAAAGTGATCACGGGCCCAGACTGTCTTTGTGATGGTCAGTGTGTCCACAACACTGGTGTTGACCATTAGGGTGCTATTGCTGACAAGAACGGCGATAGCAAAGGTGACGGTCTACGGTGATGGTGGTTATGATAGTTGTGATGAGGATGATGGCGGTATTAGTAATGATGATGTTGGATATGATGATATCGTGATGGCAGCAATGAGGATGGCAGGGATGATAATGGTTATGGTGATGGTGGTGGTAATGAGGTCGGTAGTGGTGATGATGATGATGGTGGGGATGCTGCTGTTGGCTGTGGCATCATGTCATTGGTCCATGGATGGACCAAAGCCTCCACAATAGTCTCGTGCGTCTGATTTGTTATCCACTTTCTACACGTGGACAGATCTATTGGCCCTTTAGTGGCCATAGGGTGTGAAGTTCTGTCTGGGTGAGGGGAAGCTCCCCAGAGGAGGTGAATGACCCCAGCCTCGGGGAGGGCAAGGACTTGCATAGGCCGGGGAGCAGAGGCCCTGACTGGGGACACCGGTGTCTGCAGGTTGGACAGCCATGTAAGCAGCACATCTGGGAAGCCCTGCAATGTTTGATGCCCACTAGTGATTTGAGGCTGGGGTGGGTTAAGGACCTGTGTGGATCTTAGAAAGCCAGGAGAGAAAGGAGGTGCCAGCCTGACCCAATCTCCAGGAGGAGCGTGCTTGTGATGCTCAAGGTTTGAGGTACCTGCTGGTGTCTGAAGGTTCTTTGGCCACTCAAGCATGTGAGAGACTTGAAACCAAGGGCGAGGAGGTAAGATGGTGGCTGAGGCTGCCTGGCAGGCCACGGGTCCAGTCTGCAGAAGCCTGCTCATGCAACAGCTCGTCAGGGTGCATACCGTGAGGTGTGAGCAAAGGCTCTGGTCCTGAGGCTGGCACAGTGGGCAGGGCAATGGGGCCATCAGGGTGAGAGGCAAGGCTCGGTGTGAGGTCAAGAATCAATACTGGACCTTTGCTCTGTGGTTTACAATGTGCTACACACATACATCACACACACACCACACACATACATACTACACACACACTACACGCATACACACACATACTACACATACACACACTATACACACACAACACACACATACTACACACATACACCACACACACTATACATACACACGCACCACACACATACTGCACACACATACCACACAACATACTGCACACATCACATATACACCACACACACCACACACACGCACATACCACACATACACACTATACATACATACACACCACACACTACACATATACTACACACACAACACACAATACACACTACACACACGACACATACTATACACACACCCCCACAACACTACACACACACACTATGTACACACTACACATACACTACACACACACACACACACACCACCTTAAGAAAAGGTATTGTAAAGGTTAGAGGCATGGCTTAGGGACTAAATAATTGAATTTAATTTTAGCCTCACGTTTTGTAGGGTGTTTGACCCTGGATATCACTAGATGACCTCTCTATGCCTTGGTTCACTTTCTTACAGAATGGAGGGTGACAGTGTGCCCTTCTCCAGTGGGTGGCTATAAGGTGTCAGAGGGCTCCCCAGAGCCAATGACAGTTGTCATAAGTGTGTACAGAATAGAGACCTGTTATTTGCTTGTCCTAGGGATGTGCTTCCTGCATAGTCTAGTAGGGAGGGTGAGGGGGATGGGGAGATGGACAGGGCTCTCAGGGTCCCACCACTCAGCAGCCAGGCTCATCAGAGCCCCTGATAATCATCTGGGTGACCCAGCACTAGGGTTTCCTAGCTGTGTGGTCCTCTGTCCAAGGAAGGTCACCCCCAATCACTAAGCTGGCCATGAGCATGAGTGGGTCATGCATGGTTCTTGTAATTCATGAGCAAGGGGCAACCTCAGAAGGGGGTTAGCTCTGTGCCAGCTGGGGCTTAGGCTAGCAAGCATCCCCATTTTAGAGATGGGTGAGAAGAGGTTCAGGTAGGCACATGGCTCAGCCAGGGTTACCAAGACAGAGGTCCCCCAGGTTCCTGCTGAGCTCCCCGTGAGCTCTGCCCTTTCTGGAGTTGAAACCATGCAGTACTTTCCTAAGTACCATTTGGGTGCCCCAGGGGACATGGAGGCCTGAGGCTCATTCTCCTGTTTTATCAGTAAATGCATCGAGTCATCCATCGAGTCATTATTGAGAGCCTGGCACCCATAAAACCCCTATGCACTTGGTGGAAACTCAACTATTGCAGACACTGCTGTCCTGGGCTCCTGCCCTGGTGACAAATGGCGGTCAGCAACTGTCCCCTGATTCAGGAAGAAGTCCTGGGAATTGGGATCTGGGGAAAGCACTCATGGAGAGAGCTTGGAACGGAAGAGATCACGGAGCTAAGGAGGTAGGGAAGGGTGTGGTTTGTCACAGGCAAAGGCCACGGGGCTGGAGAGAGCAGCAGGCTTGTGGACACTGTAGCATTACTTCCAGGCCCAGAGCAGGTCATAGTAAGAGGCAGAAACCACAGGCTGAGCAGCCTGGGTCCTTGGCTGGCAGCCCTGCTCTGCTGTCCCCCAAGCTACTGGGAACCAGGCTTTCCAGAGTAACCTCCCTCACTGTCCCTCCAGGGAGGGAGGGAGGGAGGCAGGACCTGAGGACCAGTGCAGATGGATGGTTGGGACCCACCGCCTCCCTGCGGCTCTTTTGCAGGGGAGTTTTATGGATCCACCCGCTCTGTGCATGTATGCATGGGTACACAGAGGCATGCTTACCCAGGAAGCTGTGTCACCGCTGGGGTATGCGCACCTGTGGGTTACAGGTGACCCCCTCTCCTCTGTCCCCTGTCTCAGGAGGCCCAGGGGGAAGCCATCGTGTCTCTGCTAGTGAGGCATTTGTGTATCTTGCCACTGTTCCTGGCCCAGATGACTTTGTCAAGTGGATGATTTTAAAACTAACCAGTACATGGGTGGCAGGGTTAATGCTTCTTCCTCCCTGGACACATTGGCTGATGTGTGGCATTCAGGTACACTTCGGAGCTTCAGAGGCGTGGTTATATCAACAGGGGTTTGGGGTGATAAGTAGGTTGTCACCAAGATGAGAAAACTTTCATATGCAGGACTGCAGCATGAGAGCCCCTGTGGATTAAACAAGAGCTGGTCTGCTTGCACAATGGATGCTGCACAATGGATGCGAGCCGCCCGCCTTCCTGCTTTTATGTGACTGCTGGGGATCCAAACTCTAGTCCTCACGTTTTCACAAGCCTTTTCCTTAGCCCTGCGTTCTCTTCAGCAGAGTCAGTTAGCCAAGTGACGTCCTTACCTGTAGCCCTGCCAACGGTTGGTACCATAAGGCTTTAGTCTTTCCTCACTCTTGGGTGGGTGCTGGTGCTGCGGTGGGGCTTGGAACCTCTCCATGGTTTCTGGCCGCCTACATCCCTCTTTTCTGAAGTGCTGATGTCTTTTGCCTAGACAATTATTTGGGGGTGTGGGGGTAGTCTGTCTTTTGTTGGTTTTGGTGATGTGCGGATGAAACCCCGAATCTCACACAAGCTAGACAAGTTCCCTTATCACCGAGTTGTCCCCCTGGCCAGTCTTGTTTGTTTTCTCTTTCTTACTGCTTCCTAGAAAGTCTTGGTGTGCTCTGAGTGGGGCCTGAGTCCTTGGTCACTAGACACCTTTCAGATTGCCTTCCATCTTCTTGATCTGCCTTCTGACTCACAGAGCCATGGGGTGAGCAGGAGCCCTGGATTCTGGTGTGATCAAATGTCTGCACTGCTTGTCCTGGCAAGTGCTTCCTGTCCTGCTGACAGGATCTCCCCACAACCCCACCCCACCCATACCCCTGCCCACCTCCACCCCTGGTTCATAGAGATTCTCCTCTTGTCTCCCAGGAGCCACTGAGAATGGGATAGTGGTGCTTGGAGAGAGGAGTGTGTGTGTGTGTGTGTGTGTGTGTGTGTGTGTGTGGTGTGTGTCTGTGTGTGTGTGTGTGTGTCCAGTTTGTGTTTTTCCTTGTGGACACTTCTTGGCAGGCACCATGAGGAGAAAAATGTGTGCCCCGCTCTGCCACCTTGACCCCACCTGGGACTGGGTCTGCTCCTGCCCCTCCCCCCTCCAACCCATTCAGGACAGGATAGGAATGTCGTATGTCACCCTAACAACTGGTTTCTTCAATATTACCTCTGCTCACCAGGGACCACTTTCACACACAATCTCTCTATTTCTAACTTCAAGATCTGAAGCGGCACCTGGCTTATGCTGGTAAGTGTCTCTCTGACGGATGAATGCACAGGTGGGGAGATTGTACGCAGTGAGGAGCCCGCCGCAGCCCCTCCCTCGCCATTTACCCTTGTGTGTACCTCTCTGCGGGCTCACCTCAGGCCCA